CTCTCTCTCTCTCTCTCTCTCTCTCTCTCTCTCTCTCTCTCTCTCTCACACTCATTATTATCTCTATTTTGTGTCGTCTTTAGTTCTCGTGAGTAGTTTGTCTCACCTCCAGCCTCTCCTGCCTGCCTGTGCAATAGGGTGGAGGCCAGAGGCGCCGAGAGCCACACAGCCTCCATAGGGTGATGGAGGTGGTTGGAGGGTTAATGGGCACCTTCACAGGAAGAGAATACTGTATGAGATTGTTATAGCCGGGTAGAAAGGAATAGTTTTGGGAAATAAGCTTATTCTCCTCAGCCGGTCAGCTTATGATAGGAGTAGAGGGACACCGCTAGAACAACAATACACCTACATGCACCTTTTTAAAGCTCACTAAGTAACGGGTACAAAAACCACAATGTAAAGACAACAAGCTGTGGTTTTATTGGGGGTTATGTGCCGGACTATTTCTTGGCAAAGCCGGCTGTTCCCTCTTGTTTCTGGTCTTTGTGCTACGCTGAGCTAGCATGTAGCCTAATATTTACCAAACCCAAAATCCCCGAATCTTTCCTTGAAGAATACTTTGACATGTCTCCTCTCCCCTTGTTTCCTTTTTACTTCTCAACTGTCTACTAATGAACTAAAAGCCAAATGTCACACAAATATGTCAAAAGATGAATTAAATCAAGGTTCAAAGAACACCATACTGCAGCAGTCTGGTGTGGTTTAACAGTTACGGTTTAAACATTAATACATATTGAGTTACTTTGTTTGATGCCTAGCCGCAGGACTTAACAGCCTTTGGTCTACCTGTAGCCCTGCTTCTGTGGCTGATTGTGTCAGCGGTGAATGATGACGATGGTTTTTCTGCGTTTCTTCCAGACTCAGAAAAGGACGATGGGGAGCCGGGAAACGGGATCGCCCCGTGGAGACTAAATGAGCAGCTCTTCCCCTGTCCTGTCTGCGGCAAAGTGTTCGGTCGACAGCAGACGCTTTCTAGACATCTGTCTCTACACACAGGTAAATAATACACAACAACATTGTTAGAGCACATGCACACCAACTACCGCACGATCCCATCTCTTTGTTCAACGTATAGATGTTCTCTGCTGAGTTTGGGCTTGTGTTTTTTGCTGCCCCCAGTAAGTAAATAAGGTTGACTAGACTAGATTACCCTTCCTTTAAAGAGATTACTACCATGATTAGTCTCTCTGGGAAAACTGCCCGTCTAATTACCCAGCTAGAGGTATGCCTCACAGAGTAACACACACACACACACACACACACACACACACACACACACACACACA